ACTTTGATATATATATATATATATATATATATATACACACACACACACACACTTCTTTAAAAATTTTAAATACATGTCCAGTTCATGTTAACCACAGCTGTTTAATATAACTAGTTAAAAAGAAAGCACCTTGACAATCCACAAAATCTCAACTCTTTTTCACATCACTATGACTACTTGCACTAAAATACCATACTCTCATATTCATAATTTCTGTACCATTATATTTCAAGAAATAAGTCTGAGTTATATTACTTACACTGTTGTTTCAAGTAGGCATGTGGTAGTTTTATTTCCGTCATTCAAATTTTGTTTATCTTCATTTAAGTCTGAATTTTAGTTGATTTAATTATTGTATGCTGTATTTGGGTTTGAGAGTTCTATTAAGCTTAACAGAAATCTTTGTCACTTATCAAAGTATACATTTATTTTGGACATCACCTTGCACAAACATAAATGTTAAACACAAATTTTTAGCTTGAGATTGAAAAATGTATTTAATAAGGTTTTTTTAATTTTAGCTCTCCACCAGCTCAAGGGTCTAGAAGTGTTAAAGATTTTGTCATATACAAAGTATCCCACTGAGAAAATTAATGATTGCAATTATGAAAGGATCTTTCTATTTTTTTTTTTTATATATTTATGTGTAAAGATTTTTAAGTTTTGGAAAGACAGAAAACATTTTATCAGCCTTAAATAAAAAGGCTTTTTGAAATATTAACTTACACTAAAGGCAGTAAATTCCCAGAATAGCACAAGTTGCACTATTTACAGAAATTAACTTTTTAAGGAAACCATTTGTATTTTTTAGATTTACTCTAATATACTTCCTGATAATTAAACTGCTTCCTTATTTTAACTTTAAAAAAAAAAAAAAATAGAATTTAAATTTAAAAAAAAAAAAAAGTAAATTCCAGCCAATAAGATGAATTTTCAATATTTATTTGGGAAAGTAAAAAAGGGAACACATTCTATACAAGGAAATGTAGTAAATCCTTGTGGCAATTTTTTTATTTAGTCTTATGTAATCGTAAGATTAGCTGTTTTCATACAGAAAACATTTAAGATTCATTGACCAAACAGCAGTACTGTCAGTTGAAATTTATAAAATCTTTCTCTTAAAATTTTTTCATGAAAATAGGTTTAAGTTCACTAACTGTACTTAGTAATAATACAGCCAACATAATTCTCAACCTCTAACGAGAAATAAATATTCTTAACCATTGGAACTATATTCAGTAATTAAGAAATAAAAATGATTTTTTTCAGTGTACCAACAATACATGGTTATTTACATTATTTACATATCACATTGAAACATCAGTTCCAGTATGATCACCAAAGTTAAGCAATGTTGAACCTGGTCAGTACCTAGATGGGTGAGCACTGGGAAATAACAGGTGCTGTAAGCTTGGATGTGTGGGTGGTGTAATGGATAATGGCTTGGAATTGTTAATCAGAAAGCTGAATTCCAATCAGTTGTTATATTAACTTATGCACAAATATCCCTTGAAAAGGTATGAATCCATTTCTCTCGCCCCATTCCCCCAGTTATGGTTTAATTAGTAAGACTTGTGTCACTAAACTATTATCATCTCCAATAAAAGAATTCTTACAATCTAAAAATATTTTATGGCTTTAAATAACCTGCAAAGGGTTGATAAGGCTTAGGAAACAAATCCATCAACAATTACAGTTGAACTAATATCCTCATCTTTGTTATTATATCTTAATTGAATGAATTCTGCAAGGTATAACTTTGCTTTTTAACCTGTTTATGCTCACTATCTCAAACATGGGACAGTAGCCATTAATAGGTTACGGGTAGAAACTTATAATGAATATTGGAGGTTTATTTTTTTATAATTAACACCAAATTTTACAGTTGGCATTCAAGTATTAATATGACCTGTTGGATTAATTTTTTTTGTTTGTTTGTTTTTTTTTTGTTTTTTTTAATCCCTTTATTGGCTTTTATTACTGAGTCATGTTTGAAAATTGTTTTATGTATATCACTTTATCAAAATATTTTAATTTATAAATAGCTTTCTCTATATCTAAGTGCTTTAGTTTCAAAATATATAAAATTTTTATAATATATACCTATAAATTCCACATTTAGTTTCTGGTATTCAAAAAACAAAATATCTAATTATAAGATTTTTTTCCCCATTTAACAAAAGGTGTGTACGTACGTATAATATATATATATATATATATATATATATATATATATATATATATATATATATAACAAAGATAATTTCGATATATCTTCTGGAATCTGTTTTTTGTTTGTCCTAAAACTTTTGCATTGTTCTTTCCAATATTGTTTAATTACTTGCAAATAAGGAAATTGAACCTGCACAGTCTTCGATTTGATTTGCTTGCTAGCCTGATTGATTTAGTCTTAATCCATCACATTTCACTTTGTTTTAACATGTTACTAACTCGGCGTGTATTTGAACAAATGCAATATTCATGCACACACCCCTACACACACACATACATTTTTTTTCTTTTATTTCTGAGTCTTTGTAGCATCACACCAATTCTTATTGCATTTGATAATAGTTAATTGACAATCAACAAATTATTCCCTTCATATCTCATTTACCTGATCTAAAATAATTAATCAGTCTCTAGATGCAGTGTTTCTCAACCATTGTTCCTCAGAACCCTAGAGTTTCACAACTGATCACTAGGAGGATCAATAGGCTAATGCATTTTTTAGAAAATTTTGTTTAATTCTGTATTTGTAATTTTACTAAACAAGCACAGCATATTGTTGGAAAATCCTTTGTTATTATAATAAAGCTTTCAACCTCTCATATTATTTAAAATTATAATAACCATCAGGAATGTATTTAGCAATGTCTGTATGGCATCAGTTTGAAACTGCCTTCACTGGTTAGTGGACTAGACCTGTATGTGGCGAATTTGTGTATTATTGAGTGACCCTCTCAAGTACAGGAATTATGCATAGTGTCTACATATTGTTTTCCATGTGAACTATGATAGAAAAAGGCAAGAGTGTCACTAGCATGCAAGGTGGGGTTACAGAGAGTGAAAGTAAAGACTAGGTATAGGGATGGTTGAGGAAAGGATAAAAGATGAACAAGGATCAAGGCAACAGAAGATGGTGATTGATGTTGCATTTAAATCTTTGTAGGTTGTAGTTAACAGGGAAGCAAGTGAGTAACATAAAAGCTTTGAATAAAAAAAAAAATGTTTTAAATTCTGTTTTAAATTCATTTTAAAATATCTCCCAAACTTTGTGAATTTATTTCTTCAAAATGCCAAGGAATCTGAGTTAAAGTGAAAGTTTTCATGACATGAGGTTTTGAAGTTCCACAGAGTTTGTGATTTGAAGAACTCGGTTTTCATCCTGAATTGGAATTTCAGCCCAAATTGGTCCTTTGGCCAGAATTGGACTTACAGCCTGAATCAAAGTGAGGTTTTGGTTCCATGGAGTGAATTGAAGAATTCAAAGTTATTTTTTCAAAATTATCATTGTTGTTTTCTATGCTGGACCCAAGGTTCCTTAAGTTTTGCACCAGAGGACTACTTAGCTCCTCTGCAGGAACTTAGCTTAAAAGTCTGCACAGTGTGTGGCTTTTAAGCTATAGTTATAAATAAAATTGAGAACAAATTAATTGAAGGAGAATTTCAAATGTCAGATTCTCATCTTATTCAATAAAACCTATTTATTAATTTAAACATCTTCCCAATCATATTCAGTGAAATAGTCAACAATCACAATTCTTATTACTTTTGTGTAGACACTGTTACAATCACTAGGATTTTTAAGCAAATGCTTAACTTTGAGGATTAAAACCATTAAGGAAAAAATAAATTGTAACTAAAAATTAATTAAATTAGAAATGAAATAGATTAGGTTTTAAAGAATATTTTAGATAAATAGAAACTTTTTACAAAACATAAATATTGTTTTTTATTTTCTTTTTTTTTTTTTTTATTTCTTTTTGTGTGTGTCTGTACACACAAAATTTCTTGCTTGTTTGGATTTGTATAATCTTGATATTATAAAGCTTCATGATTTTTTAAAGATGTGATGTCTATTGATTTTAGTGTCTTATGTTTGTAACATTTTTTTAAATGAACTTTTTTAATGATTTTAGTTAAAAACTTCTGGAATTGTTTGCAAACTTTTAAAAACAGAAGTCTGTAACTTGTATAGGTGTTTCACTCATGTCTATATAATATGTGCATGAGTGTGCTTTTTACAGGTATTTTGGTTGCTAAAAGGATGAATTTTGTTTTAAAAATCCATTTTTTATACAGAATTTATTAAGAGCTCACTAACCTTTTTACTTGGCATGGAACATTAAAAAAACATTTAATTATCTCAAAATTATTAAAGCCATCAGGTCTTTTTCTGTTTGAATTCCTGCAATAAGTTATTTAAAATCCGACTAATATCCTCATCTTTGTTGTTATTGTGTTTCACAAAAGCAGAGGAGGCAATAAGAATATTGTATTTTAGTTTCCAAGTTCTAGTTTCAGGATCATCCCATGGTGTTGGTTCATGAATTTAGTGGCATAAGTGTTAGTTCAATCCTGGGTGGTACAAACTCTGACCAAGTGGAAACAAGACTAACAATAACTAAGTAGTACCACAAAAGAACAAGACACGATATATCCCCAGGCAGGGACAGCTGAATGAGAACAATCTACTCTTACAGATTAAATAAATGGTTTAGTTTGAAATTTCTTGAAGGTTACCAGGATCAACAGACACATGAAAGTGGCCAGAGGACATAATAGCTGAAACATAACTACAAGAAAGATGGAGATATTAGTCTGACTGTAAATAAGGATTTGTGTATTTCAAATATGAGGTTAGTTAAAGGAAAAAAAAAAAATGTCTCTTGACTTGTTGGGCTTATTATTGTCTTGAAGGGATTGGGATAGGTCTTGACATTAATGTCACAGCATTTTTGATTATGCAAGCACCCTAACCTTCTGTTTTCTTTCAGAGCGACGGAGACAACAGAATGCTAATCGTACACAACATGTCAATATGACTCGAGGTGACATTGGCCTTAACAAAATCTCTGCTGCACCTCCCCCACCAGAATGTAATTTTAGTAAGTGGCATGTTGCACATGTTTTGTGTTCACTTCACTTTGATTTAATGACTTTTTTTTCTTTTTTTCTTTTCATTTGTTCATGTTTTGTCTCTTTCTATCCATCTTAAAGATGGTATTGACCATGTTTACTATTCACAGACACTATAAGCAAAAAAAGTACTCAAGTGAATTATGAGAATTCTACTACCTGGGTCATAATAGGTTTACAAACATAAGAATTCTCTTTATTAAAAACATCTCTCAAAAATAAAATATACTTTTCTTAAACTTTATTTGTGAAGGATTAGCTGATTTAAAGTTTAATCAATCTGATTTGAAACAAATATTACTTAATTTTAGTTTAAAATATTGCAGAAAAGCATTTTTTAACATGACTGGGTGTTTTTATGAGGTTTTCTTATGAGGTGTTGACAACTATCTTAATAGACTTATCTTTGGGAATTTTTCTATTGTGGACATGTCTGTAAAAATTACTTTAGGAATATAACACGAGCACTTTTTTTATATAATTTTTTAACTACCTAGTAATCTTAAAAATTTAGGAAAATATTCTAAATAATCTAATCTTTAACTGAATTTAAGTACTTGGGTTTTGAATTTACTATAGTTACCATTCTTATTTTCTGATAATGTCAAGTATGGATGTCTGTATTTACAAAAATCGGCATGTTTATACACACAAAAATTCAAATTTCTTTTCAAAATACTGGGGATCACTGAATTGCAAGCTTTTTCATTTATTATTAAATATAGTCTGATTAAATTTTTTTTATTTTACAATTGAGAGCAGATTTTCAGTAACTGGGGATCTTATTTTACAAAAGAAATTAATGCTTTAAATTCTCCAAAGACTTCTGCTTATAACCAATCTGAACATTAAGCCCTACATAGATGAATTTTTCAAAATTTCATAAAATTAAATGAGTGGAGTAGGGGATAAAAAAAAATTTTTGGTAAATATATTTTTTACCAAGATTTTCTAAAAATGAAATGTTTAAAAAATAATTCATTTATGAATAAGTACTGAAAGTTTCATTAAAATCAGTTATCTGATTTTTACGAGATTTTTCAATGTTTTTCACCACAAAAAGAGGCTAAAATTTATTATACTAATTTATAGTCACCCATGGATGCAAAAAAAAAAAAATTAGTAAATATTTTGACACTTCCAGAATGGATTAAAAAAAAAAAATAATTTTATAATGAAAAATCCTTTGGTCTTTCCTCTGAATAACGATGAATAAGATTTTTATGATAAAACTTATGGGGTAATTTTTTTTTTATCATGTCTGCTCATTTTCTAGCAAATCTGTGAAGGTACCTACTTAAGTTTGGCCAAAGAAAGTAAGTCTAAGAAATAAGGCCACATTTCTGTATACTTAACCTCTCTCTCTCCCCACTTCTACTTGACCTCTTTATTTATTCTCCTCTTCTCAATCTCTCTTCTATTCTATGTACTTTCTCTTATTCCTTATATATTTTTCATGTACTTTCATGTGTTTTACTGTATATAAAACCTTTCTTTTGCTCTGTTTTATCAACCCTGTGTCTATTTTCACAACACCACTTTCTTACTTTTCAGTGTACGTGCAACATTTAATTTACCAGAATTTCTGTGTCAGTCAAATAACCTAGTTTTTTTTATAGTTATTGTGATATATATACATACACACACACATGTATGTATATTTAGGTAGCATATCTTCATTCAAACATGTTTCATTGAATAATATAGACATTGTGTCTACTTATTTTTATACTGATCCTTTCCAGTTGTCTAATCAGATTCTTGATGTTAAAATGAAATTCATCAAGGAAGGCGTCGTTGTTTTTTGGGTTTTTTTTTAATTCAAGTGCTTTCAATCTTAAGATCATCTTCAGGGGTTATTGCAACTTATTGTTCCTTGATGAATTTCATCTTAACATAAAAAACTGATTAGACAATTGGAAAGGATCAGTATAAAAATTAGTAGACACAATATCTTTATTATTCAATGATATATATGTGTGTGTGTGTACCTACCTCTATTCCTTTAAGTTATTAAAAAAAAATCAATTGTACTTTTTTCCTTATAATTGGTAATTATTTCCTTTGTTTATTTTTAATTTATTTATTTTTGTCCTCCACAAGTACCAACCACCAGGCCTTTCCTGAACACTGTCAGACTGTTATAGTCTGCGCTCACTAATTATTCACTTCTTCCAATTTGTTCACCCAAAATATTTTGTTTGTCACCATCAATATTCAAATTTTGTCACTTCATTTTGATTTTAAATATCTACATATACTAACAAACATACCTTTTGACAATTAAATTTATCATCAGAAATATAGCACAATCTTTTTATCTATTTTTATCTTCCTTGATTTTTTTTTTCTCACTTTCTCAATGTTTTTTTTTGGGGGGGGGTTCTTTTTATACCAATGGCTATGTTGGAATCTGAATAAATTTGTCTAAATTATAAAATAATGATAATTACATGAATTTTTGAAGATCATATGAACCATTTCTTTAATTTTTTTTTCTTCCAAACTGTCACAATTTTTTCAATATTAAAAATATCAACCAGGATTTGGTAAATAATATTGTAAGACTTTACACAACTTATAAATGTTAGTAAGAATCTAGTGTGCTTACTGTTTGAAAAGATATAAAAATTTAATTTTGATCAGTATTGTGGTTTGTTCAAAATACTTCAGAACATTAATTAAAAAAAAATTCTTGCAACAGATTCAAATTTTGAATTTTCATATCTGTAACTTTGAGAAAAGTCATTAACATATCTCTATTCAGATGCTCAACTCTCTTTGCATCTTTGCAATTGTTATAACAATGTTTCATTTGATCCATTCTCCAGTCATCTTCAGGTGTAGTCTGTGAGTTAAAGGAAATCTCAAATTTGATAAACAAGCCAAGGGATTATTCATTAATAAATTCACAGGACTGTCACTGCAAAAAAGAAATGTTGAGATGTGTGTGCGCACACACACACACACACACGTGTGTGTGTGTGTGTGTGTGTATATATATATATATATATATATATATATATATATGCGCACACACATACATTTATACAGGGCATGATGGATAAATTTTTCTTTAAATTACATAAAAATGCAAATGACACTGAAGTCTTATTTTAACAGATTTATTTACAAAAATTGCACAAAAATATCTTGAAATACTAAAGAGTAAATTTATTCATTAAAATTGCCTTTGGTTTCAAACATGACCTCCAGACAACTTTGGAATCTTCTGCAACTCTTTTGGACAGTTGCCTTGTTTAAGTTGGTGTATGCTGCCGTAATCTTACCTCCAGTCCATCTTTCATGTTACAAAGAGTTTTGTTGGTCTCTCACTCAACTGCACTCCATACATAATAAAGGGGGGTTGCAGCCTGGGGAGTTTGGTGGCCAGATGTAAGGGATGATGTGGCTGCAGAAATTGTCTGACAGCCATGACTGGCTTCTCCTGCTTGTGTAGTATGAGTCCTGTTGCCAGACACAGGGTCTTCCAGCAGCCACCCTCTTGACCTAAAGCAGCACTACCTCCTCAATGATATAGGCCTTCATGTTGAGTCTGAGGCCCTGTGGGAAGATGATTGGAGGCATAATATCACCATCACAAGTGATCACTCCAAACACCATAATGTTCACTGGATATTTGGTTTTCATCACTTGGTACATCTTTTGGGGACACAGCAAGCTAACAGTTGTTCTGTGTTCACCATCTTATTCTGACAGAAATTTTTCTTGTCTGAGAAAAACCAAAGCATATTTGATTGAGTTTGTTCAAAAGCTTCATGGCATGGTTTTTCCTCTTATCCTTTTATGGCTTGGGATAAAAAATGACACTTTCTCATCTTGTATGAGAAATACCGAATGTCTTCATGCACTGCCTGCTTGATAAGAAACTCTGACACTCCTGTGTCTCTGGTTATGGACTTGATTGACTTGGAGGGATCGTTGTCAATCATGGCTGGGACTCACCAACAAATTCAAGAGTTCTTTTCTTATCGCAACAGAGTGAGTTTTCAAAGCTGACATACCTTCGTAATCACCATTACACTCATGCAACACTTTCCAAATTCTCTGCAATGTCCTCAGATTGACATCCAAACACTGAAATGTTCATATTGGAGCTTCCAGCACGAATGCCAAGCAGTACATCATGCTGTTTCCAAATTTCTGGCAGAATGATTTAGTCACAGTGCTCTTTTTCTCACAGACAGTACCCAACTGACCCTACTATAATGTGCAGAATCAAACACAAGCAACGTGCATGCCAAAAATTAAAAATATAAAATGGCGACAATTTACCCATCACACCCTGTATATACATATATATAATTTTCGAGACTGTGAAATTTTGGTCTCTTGCATTTGTATTATAAATTACTATTTCCAAGTTAGCATAGGCATATAGTATCATCCTGTTTTGGGATGTATTTTTATTATATGTTGAAAGCGTTGTTTAGATTTGTCTGTACTGCAGAGTCTCCAATTGAAACCAAAATTGTAGCACTCATGAAAAATTCCTATCAGTGTCTTTATAGTCATTTATTTGTAGTAAATGTCAGTTTCCAATTTCCCTGAAATGGACCAGCACAGCCAGGCAACAATATGAACTGAATGTGTTAATACTATTTGTGTATATAAATAACAACCCAAAGATGGTGGTGCACATGGGGAAACTGCTGTCAGCATCTTTGTCATTTATATCCAATAAATTGGCAATTTCCTATTTTTCTAAAAATGGGCCAGCACAGACAGGCAACAATGTTATAACAATGCAGTCGAAAAAAAATTTTAGGTACCTCTGGAGGTCAACATGTTAAAAAAACTCATGCTTAATACTATTTCCAGTGTAGACCTATGGCAGCATACAATACTACCTGCTTTGTGATGTATTTTATTGTATGCTGGGAGTGTTGTTTAGCTTAGTATGCAATCAAGACCACAATAGTAGCACCCATATTAAACTGCCATATTTTACAATCATTTATTTGCAGTAAACAGCAAATGGGCCAGTACAGTCAGGCAACAATGCTATAACAATGCAACAGTGAAAGTGTTAATGAACAATTTCTAAGCTTATTGTTCAATTTAGTTTTCCTTTTGCTCACCTACTATCCCTGAAGATAAAAAGATTTGGTGTTATATATGGTTTTCTTCTAAGCAAGAATTTTGGTCTGCTTAATTTTTTTTGATTTTTTAATACATCTCTCACTCTCTCTTTACTGCCTTCTTTCAGTCAGCAATACAGTCTCGCCTATGCCCAAAAAGTTCACTACAAAGAAAGATAAGAAAAACAAGAGTAAGTTGACTAAAGATGACATAGGCCTTCCTACAGATTTCAGGTGAGTTATTTTGCATCACCTTCATGTTGTTTTTGTGATTATTATGCTTCCTTAAAATATTTCAACCTTCCTACAAAGGCAAACTTTACTTTAATAAGCCTTTTCATTTGTAAAAGAATGCATACATATGGAAAGGCACTAATAAGTCCTCAGCCTACCATGTAGTTATGGGCTGAATTTTGATCTGAAATCTTCACTGTATAATATTTGATCTACATTATTAATATTCACCACTGAACTATGTTGTCAAATATTTGTTGTGTAAAATAAATGCTATTGAGGTCAACACCCAGCAGTGACAGTGTTTCATATGTAAATACAATCTTCAGTTCATGAAGATTGTGTTTAAGTATGAAACTCTGTCGCTGCTGGGTCTCAATGTCCACTTTTATCTTTACACTTGCAGCCATACCCAGCTGGTAGATCAGAAAAAGTGTTCAATTAGAATGGATCAAAAACATCATGTTTAGATGTAACAGTCTATCTTCTTCAATTACTTTAAAGTACTTTCATTAAAGAAACATTTTGAATTAATGCAGTTACTGATGTAACAGAAGTAGTTTGTATTTATTCAATCGAAGGGGTAAAACAGGCAACATGAAGACCCACTTCAGGCCACAATTATTTTGGAATTTTGAAATTCAATTTGTCAGTGTGCTACTAGGAATGTAAAAGAGGTTATATTTATAAAGCAATTGTTAATTTTGATGAAAATTGGTTGAAAGATCAACAAAAAATAAGAAAGAAACCAGTAAAAACGCCATTCTTCACTATTTACGTGGGTTTTCACTATATGGGTGGGCTCAATTATCAAGTTAAACGACTTAAACAATCAACTTATTATTGGCTATAATTGAGTGAAGTTTGTATTAGATTGCTTGAAAATTGAGGGAGTTTTTAGTTTAAAATTTATGTTGAAATTGTTTTTTATTTTTTCACTAAATGCAATGGCATAGAAATAAAAATGAGTTATCTTTGAGCTCATCATGATGTAAGTAACCTACATACCAAGTTTGAACAAACTCTGAGGAAAAAAGGCATCACATATAGATACAGACATCTGTTTTTGTGTGTGTATATATATATATATATATATGCTCTATCTCTGATATCGAGCACTTTAACCTATAAATATAGCCTACCTTAAAACTATATTTTATTATATAGCAATTTCTAAAGAATTGTTGGATTTCTTTAATCTGACAATTATGTTACTTCAAACATTATAGTGGAAACTGTATTTGAAATATAGAAAAATTCAATTTTGATCAGTGTTGTGGTTTGTTCAAAATGCCTCAGAACATTTCAAATATATAATGTTTGAAGTTGTTTATAATCATTAGGCTACTGGCTCATAACTTCTAATAATGAACACATAGATCATATATTTTATGAAATAATTTCTATGAAATCTAATGACTTCATTTCATTGGCATGATCTTTTTATAAATGCTAAAAATTCAGGAAAAAACAAAATCTCTATATTTCTTCATTGGGGCCTAACTTTGTCTTTCTATCAGAATATTGTTCATGCCACAGCGATCAGTTTACTCATTTCAAAAATGAGTAAACATGCAAGAAAAACATATGAATGGCAAAATGACATAAAAAAAAAGTCAAGATTGGGACCAACATAAAATATGAAAGATAATTTAAAGGTCATATTTGATCAGAAATCATAAGCTTTCAAAATTTCCTATGAATGTAGAAAGTTTGCAGATATTGTTTTCTCTTTCATAATGACAATGGTTTGTTTTTTGTTTTGTTTTTTTATAGACATGTTGGCCATGTTGGATGGGATCCCCAAAAAGGATTGGATGTAAGTTGTAAACTATTGTTTGGAAGTCTTCTCTTTGTCATTTCTTTTTCTAAACTGCATTTGTTTTGTTTTTTCTTGTTTAAACTCTGATAATTGAGATGCTTAGTAATCTAATAAGTTTTTCTTATGCTTGTGTTTATCAAAAAGCTATAAGAAAGAGAAGACCAGTTATTTCCTTCTTTTCTTTTTTTTTAAATACATATTAGTATCTACTTCTGTTTAATAATGAACAGCTAAATTGCTCTTTTAATACTAGAGATAACCATTGAAAAGGAGCAGGATCACTGTTGTTAAGTAGTATATTGTAGTGACTGATACTAAGTAGTCACATGAAATGTATATGAATAATTGCTTGTTTTTGCCTAAGGGAGGCAATTTATAGTCGCCACTCTTCACATTTAAATTACCACTAGAATTGCAAATGGGAGGTATAAAATAGTGAAATTTAGTTCTTTACTTAGAATACAATACAAAATGTGTTGTTTGTACACCAGTTAGGTAGATCTAAAGCAACTTCAGAATTGTTTTTTAAATGTTTACTTTAAAAGGTAAATTGTTATTCCTAAAAAGATTCAACAAGTCTTTTGTTAAGACTTCATGGAATGATTTAAGAATGTTTTTTTTTTCTATATTAAAATTTAAATAAACCCAGTGTCATTACTGTATGAGGCACACTGTACAGGCAATCTAGTTTTATAAAGGTAAAGATATGAACGATTATGCAAGAATGATAGTCAATTGTTTTGCTTCATAAAGCTACATTTCAATTGTCTACTTGTAATATTCCAGTGTCAGATACTAATCTTTAACTCCAATTAAAGGATCATTTCTGGCTAAATTATTAAACTAAATAACCATGAATGCATTATCTTTTTACTTTGTAGAAAATGGGCAATTCACTGCCACTTTTTAAACAACATATCTACTTGTGATATTAGCATTCAAATAAAGTATATTTGATCCTGTAATCTATAGATTGAATTCCATATTTAAAACTGATAATGCCAAAATGGGATTCATTTAGATGTTGGTTTCTTCTTTCTCTTTCTTTCTTGAAAATATTCTTTAGTTGTTGTAATTTTTTCCTTTTGCGCGCGTGTGTGTTTTTGTTTTGTTTTGTTTTTTTGTTTTTTTAATTATTTTGAGTCAATGTATTTTTATTAACAATGTTTTGCAACATTTGCCAGATGACTCTTCTTTTTTTTTCTATTTTTTTTTCTTTTTTTAAATCTGTTTTCTAAATATCTGTACATGTCATGCAAGCAAACATTGATTACACCAGTTGTGATGGGATAAAAGACAGTTACTCTTGTTTTGACATGACAGGAGACAGGTGAGAATAGAGGACATGATTTCCCCTTTAACACTATTTTTCTTCTATTTTAAATGTACATACATACATACATACACACACATATATATATATATATATATATATATATATATAGTAGCTCTCACTAGTTATTTTTTATTTTTATTTTTTTTAAGAAAAAATTTATCATTGTTGTAAACATAGCTTACAATTTTAAATAGATTTGATTCTTTTTTTTTTTTTTTTTTTCTCCCAATTAATTAAAAGCACCATGTTCCTTCAGAATATAGGCAATCATATCTCTTGCCACAAATTTCTTTATTTGTGAATTGCCATGATTTTTGTGGAAAGATAGTGGTTTTCTGTTGCCTTCTCTATAGTTTTGAATTATCCTTCAACTAACCTGGCTGCCATTCAAGGCCACAGAGCCCAGTTTGCCCTGCTATTTAATCTATAACTAAGGGGAGAAAAGATGGATTCATGCCTTCCTCAAGGATACTAGTGCTAAACTGGCTGCAGCAAACTAGGCTGGAATTTGAACTAGTCTTGCTGATATCATTTTCCACACTGCTGTGATGCTACCTTATAATTCCAATAGAAATGTTAAAATCTGCAGCTACTTTGCACAGACATACACTCTGTGTATATAATATGTATGAGCACATATATGTATATATGTATGGATATGTACAATAAAGTTTAACTCAAAGCCAATTTGGTATGTTTATTTTGAGATACATTGCTGAAATGTTTAAAATCTGCCTGAAAATGAACCTACCAAGTTTGTGTTACTTTTGTGTCCTGTTTACTCTACATGTCATCTTTACTCACGCACAAACATACCTGCTTCAGTTTCTAATTTCTATTTCTGCCTGGAACACCCTGAACAACTTGACATCTTTTCCATGCCCTAATTTCATTTTTCTCTCTCCCATGATGCCCCACCTCCTGGTTAATTCTGGATTCTGATCAATCGGTGAGTCTGTTTTCTTGTGCAATTAATTCTGGTCATTAATCCTTCTCTTTCCTCTTCCTTTCTGCTCAGTTGTCGTCATCATTTAATATCCACATCAGTCAAGGGGGCTGATCTAAAAAAAAAAAAAAAAAATGCATGTTTTCTAGATTGGTCCATTTTTTTTTTCTCCCTCTCCTCCTATTCCTCTTACTATTCTCCATCACTAAACCACCAAGAGCCACTCTTTCAGTACTTAGTTCTCATCTCCAACACTAATGATCATTGTTGTTGCTATATATCATCATCATCAGTGTTAATAGAGAGATTATGGTTAAAACATTTGGGTGCAGAAAAGTTGATGATTTGGAACATGCCAATCATTAACTTTGTAGTCTTTGTCTCTTGTATTTAATGATCCTCTCTCTCTCTCTCTCTC